ATTAAGTTACCATAATGGGTTTAGGGTTTAGGGTTTAGGGTTACCATAATGGGTATATATAGTAAATAATAGGATTTCCGCAATATAGTAACTTAATTTAAGTTCCTTAACAGCAACCCAGTAACTTCCCAAGCTCAGAAAGCAACGGCTTTTCTCTGCGCGGCGAGGTTTCTGAGGACTGTTCCGATCATCCTCTTAAATTTGAATACAGCTAGGAAAACTACTGAAAACAAAGATTATCAAAGATGGCAGACCTTCGTCTGTGCTGCCCTGTGGTTTCAAGGAGTCTTTGTCAACAATCTGAAGCTTCGCACGGTTTTCAGTCATACTGCCGAGGTGCTCCAGACTTGATGAACGGTAAGCTGCGTGAGCGGATGACAGAGAGGAAGCCCTTCTCGACAGCAGGAGTACCATTGCAAAGCATCAGTCACCAGTGCTTACAGCATCTCAAAGCCCCTCTTAAAGGGGTAGAGTTGCTGAGAGCTACTACTTTTTGCTGCCAGCAGCCGGCGAACCAGCATCCGCGGCAACCTCGTTCTTCAGCTTCTCCTTCCTTAAGCGCGAAGCAGAAATGGATGTTGTTGGGCTTCAACGTTCATAGGTCTGGGTCCAGCATTTGATGCCATGCATATCAAACTCAGATATATCTACCTTCTCGTCTTGCTTGCTATCACGGTCACAAACTTTCTGCTAGCAACCGGCAATGTCTTTGGTTCCCTGCACTTTCATCGCTGGGTGCACGAGACCGACACCTCCAAACCTGCCAGGCCATAGAGTGCCTGAGGAAGTGAACCTGAGGAGACCCAGCACGTACACCCTGAACAGCATGAAGTGCTTAGGGTTTACCTAAACCCTAAANNAAAAGTAGGTAAAATAATAGCCTAAGACACCTAAAAATAGCCCAAAATGACCATTTAGGGTTAAGGGCCCTTCTGTATCATCTGAGGATCTCAGCCTGTGTCAGCAACCGGCCCTTCTGAGCCACTTCCTCGCAGCAGCTCCAACGAACATAAGTACATGTCCATTTCGTGTCCAATTCGGGGAATCTAGCTTGTTTTTGAACGAAGTCTCTCCCAACAAGCCGTGGGATATAACACCTTCGACTACAGCAGGAGTTTGCTCAACGCTTCGGAGGCCTAGTTCATGTGCCGATTTGACATGCTTGGCTTCAACCCATCCTTCCGCTCGGAGAAGCGGTCATTGAGAGCGTCCGCGTGCTCACGCATGATGAGCGTGAACCTGCGGCGCTTCCAAATATTACAAGTGAAGTCTCCCACAACGAAGTCTGTATACTAGGCATGCGCCCTGTATCCTGGACCTCAACCAAAGAGCATGGCTTGCGTACTGAGAACTGCAGAGGTTTGCAGCTGGCATTGCACACCGTGGCATTGCGTCTACAGATGAACACGGGACGGCGCAGGTCGGGAAGTAACCCCCAAAGGTTTAGGGTCTAGGGTT